ACTAAAAGAGACAAAGAGAGACAAAGAGACAGAGAGAGAGAGAAAGGCCAGAGAGATTGTGACAAATTTGCCATATTAAAAAATACATAAGAAAGGGGCCTGCCAGATAGCTCAGCAGATTAAAGCACCTGTTCAGACAGATGCAGGGACCAGGGTTCAATCCCCACATGCGGTGCCGGCCCTACCCCCGGGCGCACTGAGTCACAACTGAGACTGGGTATGGTGGCATGCGCCTGTAATCCCAGAGCTTGGGAGGCTGAAGACAGAAGGATCACTATGAGCCTGTGTAATGAGATCCTGTAGACCCTGTAGTAAATACACACACACACACACACACACACACACACACAAAAGAAGGAACAAACAATTCATCTTTGAATTAAACTAATGCTTTAAGTGCTTTTGAATTCAAAATTAAAATAGAGAACAGTGCCAGTCAAAAGTGAAAGTGTTTAAAAATTAACATAATTTTAAACATTACTGAGAAAATACTAATTTAGGACAAGGATTGGTTCAACCAGCACAAATTATTACTACAGCCCAGTGCATTTATTTTATTTTTTATTAATATTTTTTGTACTGGGAATCAAACTCAGGACCTCGTACTTATTGTTTTTTTTTTTAATTTTATTTATTTAATACAAGGTCTTGTGATGCAGTTCAGACTTGTGATCCTCCTGTCTCAGCCTCCCCAGCTCTGGGATTACAGGCATGAGACACCACACCTGGTTTCACAGCCGGCACAGCATGCAGTACTGGAAATCAAGCCCAAGTCCTTGCACTTGCGAGGCAGGTGCTTAGATCACTGAGCTATCTCCCCTGCCTAGGACCTTACACTTTGTCAGACAGGTACCTGTGCCACTGAGCTATCTCCTGGCCCTTACAGCCCAGTTTTAAACGCTGATTGTTTCTCTAATAAAAATGTGTAGTTATTGCTGGACATGTAATCCCACATCACGAGGCTGTAATCTCAGGAGCCTGAGGCAGGAGGATCTCTGACACTTCAAAGCCAGCCTGGGCTACACTGCAAGACTGTCTCTCGTGAGAAAAAAAATTTTAAAAAATCAGCTACAGAGCAACAATGATCAACACTGAATTCTCATCACACCAAGGCTTGCTGAGCCGGGCATGGTGGTGATGCACACCATAATCCCAGCACTCAGGAGGTTGAGGCAGGAGGATTGTTTTGAGTTCAAGACCAGTCGGGGCTACAAAGGGAGCTCAAAGCCAGCCTAAGCCAACATAGCAAGACCCTTTCTCAAAAAGAAAAACAAAACAAAACAAAACAAAAGCAAGGCTGGCATTAAAGGTCCAAATGGGTGGAAATTATTTCCTGTTCTCAAGTAATTCTTTTTTGGTATTCAACCTAAGAATTCAGACACCAAAGTGAAGCACCACAACTCTTGCCCGTGTGAACTTTCTGTGGTCCGTCATGCAAAGGGGAAATTGGGGGGAAAAGGAAACTTCCGGGCAGATGGAGAAGGACGGACACTCATTAAAGCCAGCACAGGAGGCTGTCGGGAAATGGGGGCCCCTTCTCACTTCAGGGCAAGCAGGCCTGGGGAGCAAAGCAATCTGCCCCCAAATCACAGTTAAACAAAAATATCAGGACACTTAGAACTCACTTCTGGCAGACCAGGCACAAGGTTGTAATCCCAGCACTCAGGAGGCTGAGGCAAGAGGACTGCCCAGAGTACCAGGACTACAGAATAAATTTAAGGCCAGCCTGAAGCTCATAGCACTTCCCTGTGTCGCCATGTGTCAAAAAACAACACAACAACAACAAAGAACTCACTTCTGGTTCCCAGAGGGAGGCTTTTCCGGCCAGTCTTGTAAACACACCCCGCGCCCAACACCATCTCAACTGGCTTCAGGGCTGGGTGGAGCCACCCAAGCAGGTGCTAGCTGCAAGAGCTTCCGGGAGGGAGGCCTAAGGCTCAGGATTCACCACCTCCACCTCCACCCCCACGTGCCCGGCGACATCCTAGGAGAATGACCCAGACACAGGTCTTTCTAGACTTCCTAGAGCCCTGAGGACTTGAGGTAGGATAGAAGAAATACAATCAGGTAGGAAGGAGACCAGGAAAAGGAAATAAATTAATTGTACTTTTAAAGAAAAACAGCTTCTTAGGGCCGGGGAGATGGCTCAGTGGAATAAGCGCTTCCCTGGCAAGCACAAGGCCCTGAGTTCAATCCCCGGTTCCGGAAAAAAGAAAAGAAAAACAGCTTCTTCAGAACACAAGCCCGGTTTATTTACTTTTTCCTTTCTCCTCTAACAGTAAACCTGGGCAAGTCCCTTTCCGTGGTGAGCAGACCTGTCTGTTCCCTTTCATCTGCAAACTGCCCTTTTCCTCCAGCCTGAGAAGCAGCTCCTCCGCAGACTGCACGTCTGCCTACTCCTACATCCCCTTGGAGCCCCTGTGGACAGCTGCCCTGAAACCTGGCAGACTTCACATCCGAGCTTATGCTAACAGCCTTTAAATGGGGGCCCCACCCCAGGTGTGTCACGAGTGTGGGTCCTCCTTTCCTAATCTTTCTCATGCCCCTTGAAGTCCTGCAGATTCTTCCTCCGCAGCAGAGTCAGAGAACCTACTTAATAGGACGGCTTAAATTCCTTATTTCAGCCTCAGGGAGCCTCAGACCCCCAGTAGGATAAAAGACATCTCTCCTCCTCGAATTCACAGCCACTAAAGATGGGGGGAGGCACTGCAGATTGTCAAGAGATAAGCACCGGGGCAAACGACACAGGAGAGGGGAAGTCCCCTCCACTTCCCAGCAGACCCACCTCCCGAGACTCCAGGGCCGACGAGAGACAGACGCACACATTTCGCCCTGCCAGGCCTTGTGCCAGCTCCCCAGTGGCGACAGGCTAGCCCCCAAAACCCAGACTACCAGTGCGGATCCTGGACAAGGGCAGGAACGTACAGCTTTATCCACAGCGCTTTCTTCCCCCGAATAACCTCAACCCAAGGTCCCCAAGACTTCAAGGAGCAGAAGTCACCATCCCGGATGTCACCTCCAACGTCAGCCCGTCCACGCGCCCCCTTACTCTCCCTAGGTGCACAAACTTTCCTTCTTTCCAGGTCGAGTTTGGACCACATCACCAGGCTGCAACCAGCCACAGCGCGCCCGGGGCGTGGAGCGTGGGTGCGGCCGAGTCGTGCTGGGACAGCTCCGCGGCGTCCCGGGAAGCCCTGCCGCAGCGAGTGTAGACCCCTGCGAATGTAGACCGTGCACGGAGAGGAGCAGCGCCAGGCTGCGAGTGCGGACGATCAGGACTGGGAGTCCACGTGGCGGGGAATGAATGAACACAAGAACGAATGCACGACGGCGGTCGTGGCGGGCGGCCGGGTGCAAGGGAGCAGCAGAGCGAAGAGTGTGCGATCGACCCTTAGCGCCCCTGGTTCGGACCCCTAGAAACTGCTCCCCACGAAGACTCCTCGCAAACCCAGCGCAGATCTGGCCTGGAGCCCGCACTAGGGACCGGGAAGAGGTCGCCCGCGGCCCCTAGCCGGCCTCCCTGCCCCGCAGCCCGGGCGCCCGCAGCCCTTACCTGCCCGCCGCAGCCTCACTTAACCCGCCTCGGCCTCGCTCGGGCTAAGGGCGGGCGTCTCAGGCCTGCCCGCTTTTCCGAGGCCCCGCCCCCATACACCGATTGGCTACCCTACGAAGCGCATGCATCTCATTGGTCAATACTCGCCCTTCTGCCCCGCCCAGGCCAGGGCCAAATTCTGAGCATATCCAAATGCGGGGTCCGCGGGGTACGAGATCCGAAAACCCGACCAGGGTTTGCGCGTACTGCCGTCCCCGCCCTCCGCCCTGATGTGCTCTTGGGCTCTTCCTCTTCCACCCTAGACTCGAAGCTTTGAGCCTCTGCTGCAACCGACCCTGTTACCGGCCGGCTCCGCCCACTGCTGAACTCCAGACCCTCAATTTGGGACACTCGAAAGCAGATTATTTTAAGACCTGGTAGTGGATGAGCAGCCTCAAGACATACCCCGTACCCGGAATGTTTAGTTAGTAGGTATCCCAGGGAAATCTTTGTGGAAGTTGTGTCAGGGATTAAGACAGAACCGCGGGGGAGGGGGGACGGCACGGGACAGAGGGATGGTTCAGAGGCATAAGTGCTTCCCTGGCAAGCGCAAGGGCCCGAGTTCAATCCCCGGTTCCACCAAAAAAAAAAAAAAAAACACACCATAACCGCGATCACAGAGCCCAAAGTTCCGGTCTCCCCAGCCAAGTCACTCGTGGCTCAGGTGCCCAGAACATTCACCTTACAGTCCCCACAGTGGCCTCTGCTACTGGGGGAGCAAAGGGAAGACTAAAAAACAGGAGGCTGGCCATTTGGAGGTCAGCCTAGGTAACACAGCAAGACCTTGTCTCAAAATCAAAGGCCAAGAGGATGCGGCGCATGGGTAGAGCTCTTCCTAGCATTCACAAGGTCCTGGCTCCATCTCCAGTACTGGGGGAGTATGCTGGTGGCAGTGCTGGCTTGGGCAAGGACTTCCTTATAAGAACCCCCATTCCTGCCCTGTCCCCTCTGTGGCCCAAATACACCACATGCCCGAGGCTGTTGTGTTAGATGGGAGTCTGCAGGTAAGCTGTGCGACAGCACCCCACCCCCCAGGAAAGAGAGGCCACTGGGAGCTTCAGCTGTTGTTTATTGACACACAGGTGGGCTCTATAGCAACAGGCCTGGAGGTGGCGGGCGGAGTGTGCGCGAGAGGAGTGCGGTGGCAGAGAACTGTGCACAGGTTGAGTGGGGAGGCCGAGGTGACTGGGGAGGGAATCTGAGCATTTGGGGTCAGGACCAGTCTGGCACACCAGGATCCATGCCCTCAGCCCCCATGCTGGCCACCATGGCTGGGTTCTCTGGCATCTGCTTTGTATAGGAACTCAACAGGACACAAAGGAGGCGAAGTCGCTGCCTTCCTGCAGCAAGCTCTAGGGGCCTCCTTTCTCAAAGTCCCTTGCTGGGGCTTCCTTTTCTCAAAGTCCCAGGCAGCCAGTTCTGGGCCACTGCGCCAAGTGAGGGACTAATCGCAGAGACGTAATCTTCCCAGTGTCCCAGCTCGCCGGTGCCACACTACAGCCCGAAGTAAGGCGCTACAAGCGTCGCTGGCCTAATGGATGGGTTGGGGGAAGGGAAAGGGAAAGGGGGTCGAGACGGGCTCCAGGGCCTTCAGGGCACGGGCACAACACGCATGGTGTTGGTGAAGCCGGAGCCGGGGCGCCACCCGGTCAGCACGATGACCACATCTCCTGTCTTGAAGAAGCCTCGTGCCTTGCCTAGAGAAGAAGAGAGATGGGTGATGAGTAGGTGCAGAGCCATGCCAAGGGGGAACGGGGTAGGGGTGGGGCGAACGGACTGAGCATTACCGTCTCGGCCACCAGATGGCGCCAGCCTCCCAACTCAGACAAAGCTGATATTAACTGGGGTGGCTCAGCCCGCAGGACCTTTGAATTTTTTCAGCTCTATCCTGGAGAGCTGAGAGCTCAAGGTCAGAGCTAGCTGCTGCCTCTCACCACTTGATCTCTACCTTACTCAGGGACAATGGCCACATCCCTCTTCTATTTCCCACTCTCTGGGTCCCACAAGACACAGGGCGCTGCCACCCCATCCCCTCTAGCCAGGCTCGTAGCCACGCACCGACATTCATGGCCAAGTTCACACGCAGGTCCACATCCTCAGCCCACGCCTGCTGCACAGGGTCCTTGCACAGCACGGGAAAGATGCCGCGATACAAGTGCGCCTGGCGCGCCGTCTGAGGATTGCGGGTCACAGCGATGATGGGGGCCCGTGGACGATACCGTGCCACTTGGTGGGCAGACCTG